GTAAAAATCAGGATAATAGAAAATCTAGTCAACCTAAGGACACTAGACAACCTAGACAAAAACCTAGGAATGAAAATGTACATGTTAGACAACCTAGGAAAAATTATCAAAATGATTTTGTGCATAAAATTAATTTTTCAAATAGACAAAATAATGCTAGAACACCTAGAAGAGAGAGTTTTCAAAAACCAATATTTTTCCAAAATAGGATGAATATGGTTAGGCCCTCTAGCAACTATTATCAAACTAGGCATATGCTCAACCCAAACGTAGTATGCCATTACTGCAATAGGGTAGGACATATAGCTCCCGTGTGTTTTACCAAACATAGGCACTCCACCTATAATGAAGCACACAACATTTTTGGTGATAACGAAAAGAAATCCTTTAGAAAAGGATATTCGTATCATAGGCAATCGCCACAGGAAAGTGCAGAAAAGAAACCGTATTATTTCTTCTACTTTGACGAAAAGAAGAAAGTCCACATTCCGTTACAAGAACCAACACAGACCACACCGAGATATCGGCACTCCGTTCGGGTAGACTGGAACCCGCCAACCACGAGACAATGGGTTGGCCAAGGTAACTCATAAACAATCATTTAATTGTGTGTGTGTGCGTATGTGCGAATTTTGGGTGTGTGTGTGGGCAATAAAGGTCAACTAACCCCTAAGGACCCATAGACATACTTTGGGTACCAAAGTGTTATTTTTTTGCAGGGACGGTTCAAAGTGAAGAATTCTGGAAATCAGGGGGAACCAGCGATGGGTGGGCTACACCATCGCTGGGAGGGAAGTTTTTTTTTCAGAACCCCTCTTCCCATCGATGGGAACTCTCTCCCATCGATGGGTGATTGACTCTAATTTTTTTCCAGAACACGTCAACCCATCGATGGGTATTTTATCCCATCGCTGGGTGAAGGACTTTCGTCAAAAATATTTTTCCTAGAATCTCCATACCCATCGATGGATAAATCCTCCCATCGCTGGGTGTTTGACTCTATTTTTAAAAAAATTTTTTAACGGATTTCCAGAAGCCACCTTCCCATCGATGGGAAGATCCAAACATCGCTGGGAAGGCAGCTTCGTTTTTCTCCTTCGCCTTCCAGTAGCATCCTTCCCATCGATGGGATGATTTACCCATCCCTGGGATGACTGGTGCAATTCAAATTTCAGAACCGTTGGCAGCACCATAAATGGCCCAACAGCTATTTTTTTCAAATTCAAACAGAAATCCACCCTCTCCCTATATATTATCATCATCCTTGCTCATCAAAACACACCATTTTCATCCAATTTTCAATCTCCTAAGCCTAATTCACTCTCCTTCTTCATCTTCTTGCCTCAACAATGGCCGGTGGAAAATCCAAGTCGAAGGCCTCCAAGAAGAAGGGTAACGCCGAAGCGATGACCTCAGCGCTCCCGCCGTTTCCCTACCTGGACAGCTCTTTCCTCGAGTTTGGGTCGGAGGAGGAGCTCACCCGGTTTCTCTCGCACTTCGCCAAGCGTCCTATCTCTCCGCCCAGGGTGCTGCCCGAGTTATACCCTCAACAAAAGGGGTACCACGACCTCGACAATCAACTCAAAGAATCGGGTTTGTGTTCGTTCGTCTCCAGGAGCCGTCAGTCCTATAATCCCGCCTATGTCCGGGCCTTCTACTCCAATCTCCGCCGGGACGGGGACACCATTCGCAGTAGCATCAATCTCTACGACATCGCAACATATGGCGGCGATGATTGGATTCTCAACAACGAGGCGGTGGTCATCCGTGAGCTTGGGATCACCAACCTCATCCGTCACAGCGGCGCACCAACAATCCACTCAGCCCCGCCGGAGAAGCGTCTTCTTCTCTACATCCTCACCCAGATTCTTTGCCCCCGGGACGGTAGCCACACATGTCTCTTCAACGAGGATCTCAAGGCGGTTCATGCTATCACCCATGGCGCCTCGATCAATTGGGCAAAATACGTCATGATTCACATGGCGGATTGCGCCTCCATCGCCACTGAGCGGAGCTTGCCATACGCCTTCCTCGTCATGGACCTCATCATCTCCGCCGACATCTCCATCGCCGGCCCGGATATGAAGATGACAAAGATTTGGATAATTCAAGACAGCACCTTCCGGAAGAAGTCCGGAGACCGGGACGGCACAGGCCCAAGTCGTGCACCAGCCCCCGCTCCCGCCAAGGCCTCTTTGCAATCCATAGCCGATACTCTGAATCGGCTAACCCTCACAGTGGATGGCAAGGGGCAGTCAATCGAGCGGATGGACTAGACGCTGCAACGCCAACACCACGACATGACGGCGTTCTTCCGCGGCATCAACTACGTCCCGCCGCCCTTTGACAGCACTTTCCTCGGCCAAAACTATGAAGGCGAGGACGAGGAGGATAACTCCTATGCTCCATCCTCCTCCCCCGATGAGGCCGACTTTGAAGATGCGGTCGATGGCGATCCCATGGACGTCGAGGACGACGAGGATGACGACGAGGACGCCGATGCTTAGACTTTTCTTTTCTCTTCTTACTATGATTGTATTTTTTATTTCCATTCCGTTGTATTCCGCATTTCACTTTTTCATGAATAAAAGTTTACTTTTACAATTCTAAAGTTTACTTTTAATTCTTTTTGTTAATGTCAAAAGGGGGAAGATATTAAGGTTATGCATAAATTGAGGGGGAATTTTTTTTACTTTGTAAAATGGCATCTATTAAGGGGGAACATTTTTTTTTCAAAATAATCCTCCTATGCATAACCTCGTCTCGTTTGCCATTATCAAAAAGGGGGAAATTGTTGAAACACGGGCTTGTCACGTTTTCATACTAAAGCCGTGTTCGTTTTTGTAACAGGTTTTGATAATGCCAAACCGCCGTGATCAAGTCGAACATAGAATATACAAGGCGAAGAACGAAGATAAGAGCAAGAGCTAAACGAAGACCAAGAACGAAGACCTTAATCATAGTATTGAGTCGGTCTTTATTGTGATGAAGACCGACCCAATCTTTACACCTTGGCTCTTTAGGCTAAAATCTCTCATTGCATTTCTTACATCATAAAAATGTTTTTAAACTTGTTTAAGTCATTAAAAACACTTGGTGTTCGCCCAAACCAAAAACCAAGCCATCCAGTAATCGGCTTTCAGAAAACGGCGTAAACTTGGCTAGCCGTGGTTTTTAATCAAATGAAGTGATTTTTAAAGTGTCTCACTTGATTTCTTAGCCAAATACATCAAATAAGTGTTTTAAACACTTGGTTTTTATTTTGGAGAACCTTGGATTTTTCGGTCGGTTTTTGCATCGGTTGGCTAGGCCGTGGTTAAGGCAAAAACCACAGGTTTTTGGCTAACCACCCACCCAGCGATGGGAAGAACATCCCATCAATGGGTAAGTAGCCCCTTAGCCAAACCAACTTCCAGAACCATGCCAAACAGCGATGGGAAGCTCTACCCATCGCTGTTCAAGCCTTGGTCCAACATTATCACAAGGCAGAATGCCCTTACCCAGCGATGGGAAGCTTTACCCATCGATGGGAACCCAGCGATGGGAAGGCTAAACCATCGATGGGAAGGCATGACCGTTGNACCCACCCAGCGATGGGAAGAACATCCCATCGATGGGTAAGTAGCCCCTTAGCCAAACCAACTTCCAGAACCATGCCAAACAGCGATGGGAAGCTCTACCCATCGCTGTTCAAGCCTTGGTCCAACATTATCACAAGGCAGAATGCCCTTACCCAGCGATGGGAAGCTTTACCCATCGATGGGAACCCAGCGATGGGAAGGCTAAACCATCGATGGGAAGGCATGACCGTTGGAAGTCATTTAAGGTTGATTCTTTCCTTATTTGGAAGTCAACCTCCCACCCAGCGATGGGAAGCTTGTACCCATCAATGGGTAGGTAACCGTTGGCTTCAAAACTGAAGGAAAATTGGCCTACCAGCGATGGGTAATGTCCATACATCGCTGGGAAGCCAATATCCTGCAGATCCCAAATTTATTCAATCCCTTAAATCAAGCCAATCACCCCTTTAATGCATTGGTCCGTTGGAGCCTTTTTTGGCACTATAAAGAGGGGTGTTTGGGTCTGCTTTTCTCATCAATTCACTTCACTTTATTCATATTATCATTGCATCCAAACAACATTATTTTCCATAGCTTTCTAGAGCCAATTTGTGAAGTTTGAGTTGTTCTTGAGCGTATATAGTTTGCTCAACATCTACTCTAAAAGAGAGCCTTGTTCTTGAGTGTCTTAGTGTTGTAAACACAATTAGGGAAGCTTGTTTCCCTTGGTTGTACGAAGGAAAGGTATTTTTCCTTCGGGTTGAAGTCTTGGAGTGCGGTATCTCCGAGCAAGTGTTGTTGAGGCTCGTGGGACTCGAGTTCTCAGGTTGTAACGGTTTGTTAAGCACCCGTAAGCTTAACGGAAGTAGTGTAGCTCGAGAGAGTCTCTCGGGAGGCTAGATTAGCCACAAGTTGTGGTGAACCAGGGTAAATCTTGGTGTGCTCCCTTTACGCTTTCTACGCTCTTTATCTTTCACGTTCTTAATTTTTTATTCCTGCGATTTCTACGATCAAACACTATTCACCCCCCCTCTAGCGTTGGTCACTTATTCTAACATTGGCATTATCAAAACCTGTCATAAAAACGAACACGGCTTTAGTACGAAAAAGCGATAAACCCGTGTTTCAACACTTTGGTATAGGGTTTTTCAATAAATAATTAACATAAACTAAAATATAAAAAAATTTATTCATAAAATTTGAAACCAAAATAACATTACCCTTGAATTTAATTAGAATATTAAAACAAAAAAATGAAAACAAAATAAAGAAACTGTAACACCCTAATCTGTCCAGGTCTGCAACCCTATTCGGACTAAAGTATTTAACTTCGTAATCGTAAAAATTTAAAACTTTTCAAACACACTTTATTAATACCAATAATTTTGCATAACATATACAGTACGGAGTATTCAACAATATTGCGGAAGCAAATTTAATTTTGACATAACATAAATCATTTCAAACTTGTCACATCCATCCCGACAATCTCACTCCATCTACCGCCAGGATCACATTATGCTTTCTGTTTACCTGCGTGTAGCAAATAAAACACACTACACGCTCAGCGGTAAAGCTGAGTAAGCATATCTAATGTGTCGAACATCCATATAAATTGAATCTAAATTCATAATCAATCATTTGATATCATGCACACAATGTTCATTTCAGACATTCACAGTTTTGGTATTGTTCAGTTCATATCAACACATTTTATTCAATTCAGATACTATTTCAATAGTGCTCTTAAATTATTCTTAATCTAAGGCCAGATCATAACAACGCTCTTAGCTATTCTTAGTCTAAGGCCAGATCATAATAATGCTCTTAGCTATTCTTAGTCTAAGGCCAAATCATAATTTCCATAATCACATTCTTAAAAGGCAATTATTAATCAGACACTTAAACTATCATTAGTTTAAGGCAA